GCTTGGATCTGTCTGTCCACAGGGCAGCGGTTCCGCCCCTCCTCCTGGTTCCACCCCCACGCCCATCTTTCCTGCTCAGTAGCTCTTCTCTCCAGTAAAACCCCTGAATCTTCAATAAATTATAAACATGCTTTCTCGTCCGTCTGCCGGCGCCAGATCTCAGTGCTGGCAGCCTTTTTCATTCCCCTTGTGTCCCTAATAGATCTTGCTGTTTGATTAATCTTTTAGATCCCTCTCACAGAAAGCCCACTGTCAGCTGACTCTCCCCACGGTGTCCAGTTTTAAGGATTTTTCTCAGCCCCTTGGCCTTGTTGCTGGCAGCGCCCAGTGGTCATTCCTAAGTGGGGCTGTGGCCCCCCTGGACTTTGGAGGGCAGGTGGCCCTATCCAGCAGCAGCCCCACAGGCTCCTGTGCCTTAACCAGGGTGAGTTCACAGCGAGACCCTAGGGACAAATAACAGCAAGAAGTCCCAGGACCCGGGTTCAGCTTGTCTGAATCACTCATCAGGTTGAGCGAGGCTGAGCCTCGGTTATTCTCATCTGTGGAGTGGAGGTTCTCAGAGGCTGTTGTGAGAGTCAGATGAGACAAAGGATGAGTTCGGGCACCGTGAGCTATGAGCAGGGGCAGAAGGAAGAGACCAAAAAGTCCCATGAGCAGGGCCGCCTGTGCCATTGAGGTGTGAGGCACCGCCCTGCTGCCTGCCCTCCCTGAGCCTGTGCATGTGGGAGGCACTGGGATTCCTGCTCAGCCTCCAGAAAGAGCCCCCTGTCCTTTATCCTTTAGGCATAGAGCCTGGAGAGCTGAGGCCCAGGAGCACAACCACCCAGGCTCCACCCAATGCCCCTTATACCGCCCAGTTCTGCCCAGTTTAGGAAGTCAGACTGGATCTTCTCCAAGACTTCTCCTTCTCTGAACTATGAGTTTGTGGGTCTAGGCCATGACCACTGACCATTGCATGGAGGCTGGTGCAGCCACTGTACGGCTGTAATTAGAGTAATTTTAGCTACCATTTACTCAGCACCTATTAAACACCCGGTCCTTTGTCTGCAGTATCTGCAGTCTTCACAACAAACCTGGAAGGAAGGCATTTGTCTGCATTTTAAGGTGACAACACTGAGGCTCAGGGAAGGTAAATGACGTGCCCACAGGCACACAGCCAGTTTTCAGCAGATCCAGTATTGAAATCAACATTGCAACCCAAGTTCCTTTTTCTAACATCAGTGCTTATGCTCTTTGCGCTCTTCTCCTCCTCTTGCCTCTCAATGCCCCTCACCCACTGTTGTTCAGGGCAGAACCACTCACCAAAGATGCCTTTCCAGCCCATGCAAGATCTGGCTCCACCCAATGGGAGGAGGAGTCTGAAGATTTGAACTTGATGATAAAAATAATGATAGTTACTATTTGTCAATCTGTTATTATCTAACACAGTAATATCTAGGGGGGAAAATCTACAAGTTAAAAGTTATTGTCTTCACTGAAGCTTAGAAAAGTAAATTCAGATGTCCAGCCACACAGTTGAGCCTCAGAGGCTGAATGGTCTTTGCAACATTCCATTCAAATCAACCATGCTTACTGAGTGTCAGCTCCAATCAAAGCTTCTGATTACTGATGCTGTGAGAACCTTTAGCGGGAGAGCCTTGGGCCCAACCCTTGTCCTACAGATGAGCAGACACAGCCTAGAGAAGCAGGGGGTTTGCCCACAGTCCCACAGCTGGTCAGTGGTGTCCAGATCCCTTGGCGAGTACTCTATGAACTGTATCACTTGGCTTTCAGCTGGCAGGTCCAGACCGTGCCATGCCTGGAACACTGTACCCCATTTCTGTCCATCTGTCCCTACCTCACTCTGTGAGATCCAGCACCTCCTCTTCAGTGAAGGCTTCTTCACTACCCCGGGTGGAGTTACGCCTGCCTTTCTGCTCTCCCTGCACGTGTGTGCACGCCCACCGCTGTGTCATTGCGTGTTGATACACCTGCCTCCCCAGCTGGATGCCTCCAAGGCAGGAAAAGTGGCCTCTGTCTCCAAAAGCTCTCGAAGCAGATAACTCCCAGTACCAACCTCCCACACCAACTTACCCCTGAATAATTTACATCACAAAACCTGGGATTTGAGGTCCCATTGCCTCCCAGGATGTGGAAGGGCAGGCTATCTCCAGGGTGGTGCCCAGAGCCTGGCCCTTGGCAGAGCACTGGCAGCGGGGGCTTCTGAGTTGCTCTGCTCAGGCTGTCTTTTCTCCCCGTCTCTGATGGAGACAGGGAGGATCTGCTCAGCTCTCTGCTGTGTTACCTTCCTGTGAAGAGACAGATGATTATCCTCCCGCTCCCTGACTCCCACCTCATTCCTTTTGGTGCTGACCTTGCTCACTGCTGCCTCCTCCTCTGCCTGGGTTTCTCCAAGCCCCACCATGTCCTCACGGACCCTGCAGCACACGAACTGAGGTCCCCCCAAATCCACCTCAACCAGTCACCTGCCTGCCTCCCTCCCCACTGCTCCCAACTTAGACTCAGGTCTGTGTCCACAGACAGGCAAATCCAGGGCTTTTTCAAGGCATTTTCCTTCCCTTTTAATAATGGTTATCTAAGGGTCAAGAAATCCCCCCCAGAACTCAGTGGCTTAAAACAACAGGAATCATTGATTGCCTTTGTAGTCTTTGGGGGTCAGGAACTCAGAGCATCTAGGCCAGGTGGTTCTGGCTTGGAGCCGCTGGAGCTGCTGTCATCTGAAGGCTTGACTGGAGCTGGCAGACTTACTACCAGGGTGGCTCATTCATACAGTGGGCAAGGTGGTGCTGGCTGTGGGCAGGAAGGCTCAGTTCCTCTGCACTTGGGCATCTCTCCGCAGGGCTGCTTGTGTCCTCACGGCGTGGCAGTTAGCTTCCCTCCAAGTGGCCAAGGCACAGCCTGTAGTGCTTTTATGGTTTAGCCTTGGAAGTCACACACTGTCGCTTCCATCATATTCAGTTGGTCATATGAGCTGGCCCTGATTCAGTGGGACAGAGAACTGCACAAAGCATGAGGACCAGTAGGTGAGAATCACTAGAAGCCGTCTGCAAAGCTGGCTGCCGCACCTTCTGAAACCTTAAAAGGCTGAGTCTTCAGCTGACCTAGGAATGCCTTTCCTGACTTTTGTTCTCCCTTTCTCCATGAATGGGCATCTAATCTACTTAACTCCTGTGCCAGGAATATGGAAATAGACAAGTCCTTCCCTAGACAAACTCATAGTCAAGTGGGGGAGACAGTCCTACCTCGAGAGGCACTAGAAGAGAGATATGTACAGAATTATGGGAACCCAAAGGAGAGGTCATTACCTATCTGGAGGATTATGGAATGCCTTCACAACAGAGGGGACGTTCACTCTGGTTCTTGAAGGATGAGTAGGAGCGCAGGTCGGGAAAGGAGGAAGGACGTTGCTCCGTGCAGAAGTAATAGTGTGAACAGTGGCAGAGAGTTATGGCAACACATGAGGCTACAGTTTGTGAAAGGTCTTAAAGGCTGTAATAGGAAGTTTGGACTTTCTACATCAGGAGCCACTGTGGGCTTCAAGCCAGAGGAAGACCTGGGCAGAGCTGTGTGGTAGACAGGACATGGCTGGCAGGGGCAGAGGGTGGAGGCAGGAAGACTGGTCAGGAGGCTGCCACAGGGATCCCCAAGAGGAGTAAAGACTCTCTGAGCCGGGCCCATGGGGATGACGGAGGAGGGGTGGATCCAGAAGGGTTTTATTAGGAGGTGGAGCTGACGCCATGTGATGAGAAGCTGTCTCCATGAGGGGAGCACAGGAAGGCCTGAAGGTCATGACTTACCTTTCCCCATCTCTCCCCCCAGGACCTTCCTTTCCTAATTCCTGGCTCCTTGTGGGTGACCCAAGCCCAGTCTGTGCTCAGGTTCTGAGCACAGTAGCCCAGCTTCCTCTGCATAAGCTCTCTCTTCTTCAGTGTTTGCTCTTGTAGGAAAGAGTATCAGAATTATCAGGGAGGCCAGAGAGACATCAGGCCCATTGGCCTAGGATTGAGGTTCTGAAGTGTTCTAGCCCACAGACTTCTTTGAGAATCTAGTGAAAACTATGGAAAAAGAAAAATGCACATTTGCATACACAACTTTGCAAGCAAATTCAGAGGGCTCACAGTCCCCTTGAAGTCCATCCTTGAGTCTCTGGACCCCGAATTAAAACCCTCAGGCCTAGGAAGAAATCGGAAAATGAAGAGAGGGAATATTGGACTCACCAAACGTCAGTTATTTACTTCCTCGTTTAATACCCCACCCCATAATTGGACAACCCCTGAAAGAGCGAGAAACAGGGGGAAGCATTTACCCAGAGATAGCCCCTGGTGGCTCTAGCCTCACTTGGCAGGTTTATTTTCATTATTATAGTAATTTTCGGGCTGAAGGCTACAATTTTCACTTGCAGTGAGGTATTAAATTGAAATTACCCCAGATGTAATTGTCATACGAAATGATCCTGGACACGTGGAAATGAATGCTTTTTCAAGATGGGGTTTAGTGCTCATGCCGGGGTTTGAGGCTCTGTCTCTTTAAACAGGCCAGATTTCAGTGTGTGTGGCAGAAGGTCTGGGTCAGCATGGTGTGGTGGGCTGGAGGTGCTGGCCCAAAACATGGTGAGACCTCTGCCGGCTGGGCTGGACACAGACTGGGGAGCAGAACCCGTCTTGGGGTGGGTTTGCACGGCTGCTAGGAACCGCTGTGCACGAACTCAGCCAAGCAAGAAATCCACGTTTGTGTTCTGTATAGCAACTTAATTTGGCTCCAAGCCCAAGTTTCCCCAAGGTGGTGGGAAATTCAGCTTTAGTCATTCTCGGAGCTTCCCTGCCTCCCTTAGGGCTGGGTGAGGCCCTGGGGTCTTACCCAGTGCTGTGCAGCTGGGGCGGCCCCCACCAGACGCCAGGCATCCGTCTGTACTGGTGACACCACGATGCCCTGGGTTCCAGCCCTTTAGATCTGCTTTGCCCCCAAAGGTCTTACTTGTCATCCTGTGCTTCCTTCCCCAGATGCACCACACTGGTGTACTGCACAGACCTCCCTCCCACCAGCATCATCATCACCTTCCACAACGAGGCCCGCTCCACCCTGCTCAGAACCATCCGCAGGTAAGACAGCCTTCCCATCTGTCAGCCCTACCGGGCCCAGCACTTGGTAAGCGGTATCTGCTCCCTGGGGGACCACCCCTTTAATAAGAATATCAGGTATTCTAACTGCCTGCCAGGTGCTGTTCAACACACCGCACTCAGTCACTCCTCACACTCCTACGAGGGCAGCTATTATCTCGTTTCCTTGGGGGAAAGACAGAGGCCCAAGGTGTTAGGTAACTTACGGAAGGTCACTGAGGTTCATAGAGGACCTGGTCCCAGAGCCCTTGCCCTTAACCGCTGTGCTAGACTGCCTCCAGAACAGGAGTTCTAATTTTCACAGCTGCCGAGGGCCCTGAGGCCCTGAGAGGCTAAGTAGATACCCTGCCCCAGCATCAGGCTGGGATTAGAACTCAGGTCTGCTGAGTGCTGCCTATCCCAGCACCTCCCTCGCCGCAGCTCCCACACACCTGCTATGGTCTATGGTGCAAATCAGAGCAGCCCAAGTGGCTCGCATTTGCTTTCTCAACCATCACCTTGTGTTCCAGCCCCGTTCCCCCTCAGGCCTCTCCATCCACCTTCAGCTCCTAGTCAGGGCCATGCTCTTGGTGTAACCCGTACGTCCTTGCTACCTATGGCCTGTGGCCTGCGTGGATTTTTGATATGCGAAAGTCCCAGCGCAGCCCTCAGCAGAACTCCCTTCAGAGCACAGACCCGGCCCGGAGACTTGGCCAGGAATTCCTCACCCCAGTTCTCGGAAGACCCTGGGTGTTTTGGCTTCCTTCCCCATGGGAGCTCCTTCCTCTCCTCTGGAGCCCCTCTCCCTGTGCCCACTCTCACCCCAACACCATCTGGCCTGCCCTTCCTCACTCAGGTCTCCGGCAGCATTGGCATCTTGGATGGTGGTAACGGCAGCCACCAGTCACTAAGTCCCCATGTGCTCTCAGCTGAGAGGCCACCGCTGTGCCCACTTTACAACTGAGAAAACTTACTCAGAGATACTAAATTAAGGCCTATTGTTGCTGAGCTAACAATGGTGAGCAAGGTTCCACCCCTCGCACTCTGACCTCAGAGTTTTTCTCAGCAACCTGAATAAGGTAAAGCCAGTCACAGTGGTGGCATTCAGAATCCCTGGAGGAGGGGTTGGACCAAGGATGCGCCCAACCATGCCTCCACCAGAGCAAGGGTCTAGCCCTGGAGTAAAGTGGCCGAGGCACCTCCATGGCCCTGGGACACATGGCCCATTACAGCTTGTCCCCTATCTGCTAGCCCATCCCAATCAGATGGTTGCCTGATCCCACAGAGATGGAGGTAAGATTAAATGTGGGCCAAAGAGAGTACAACTAAGCACACAAGATCTCTTGTCACTTCCATCAACAAGCCACACCTTCCCTCTCTCCTTCCCACACCCACATGGCTGTGGACAAGTGGGGAAGTTCCAGGTGACAGGAGGGAGTCAGTGATGGGCTCACTCTAACGGTGGGCACCAAGTCTTCGGCGCCACCTGTCGCTCATGATGAATGTCCACTGTGCAAGGTCAGCTCATCCTTTAGAAACAAAAGGGAGGGCCTGCCCAAACACGCAGTCTTCAGCCTGGCATTTCCCCCTGTCCATGGGACAGCTCTGTCTGCACCCAGATGTGCTTGGCGACAGGCTGGCTGGTTTCTTCTGCCAGCTGCTTGCCCTGTCTGCCCTGGTTTCTTCATTCACCCCACAAGCTGCCTGATTCAAACTTGATTTCCCAAAAAGCCTTCAGCTCTTGCAAGAAAATGTCCCAAGTCACTGTCAGGTGTCACTGTGAGTCTCACGGTAGACTGATAAAGTGCCTTCTGATTTGTAAACCTGTGTGGGTATGTGTGGGAGAACAGGGATGGGGGGTGGTTCCATTTACCTGGGTCTCTTCTGGTGAAGGGAGAATGGAGTTTTAGGACCTTGAAGGCAGAGCAGGCACATGGTGGAGCAGAGGTGGCTGATTCCAAGTTGCCAGACAACAGCCCCAGTGCACAAGGTCATGGCTGGGCGTGTCTGCTACATGTTTCCATGAGGACATGATAGCCTCCCAGACAGGCTCCTTGGCTTCCCGGCTGGCTTCTCCTCCTCCTTCAAGGAGTCTTCTGATGCCATGTACCTCCATCCCCCTTAACCACCCTCACACCCCATTAGGGCTCCTCTGGGCTCCTCCTCTGTACATCTATACTCCAGGACTGAATGCATTTTTCCCGGATGCAATCCTCAGTGAACTCCTTTAGGGCAAGGACCCCATCTTACTCATCTCTTACCTAACCTCCCTATGGCTCAGTTTCCCCATCAGGGAAATAGGAATAATAATCGTGCTGACTCCACAGACTTGCTTTGGTTAATTCAGGTGGAGGACTGAGAACCATGCTGGCACAAAGTGCTGGATCAATGTTAGCCATCCCTACATCTGCACAGCTAGTGAGCTCTCAAAGGAACAGAGGCTATGGGCTCCTTAAAAGGGCACTGCACCTGGGGTCAAAAGACCCAGGTTCAAGTCCCTACCTTGCCACTTCTGAGCTTTGTGACCTTGGGTTGGTCATTAACCACATCTATAAAGACAGTGATAAAAATATCTTTCATGTTTCAAGTTCTAACACATTTCCCAAAGTAAGACATTACACTGAGACATTTGGGGGGCATTGTAATATAATAAGGAGACCCCAGACCCCTTGTGCTTCCCTATCACTGTGTTTATGTTCTCAGGGGCACTTCAGCTGCTGCCCTCAGACTCATCCCTTTCAGCTCTAAGACGTATTTCTCCTTCTCTTCCTGCTGCTCCTCCATCTCTTTATGATAGTAATAATGATGCTTTATAATAATAATGTTAATATGTTAAATGTATGCTGAGCTTTATGGTCTACAGAACACATTCCATCTCTCCCTTCAGTTGGAGCCCCATCCAGGGCCTGTGAGGCCGGGTGCATGTGGTGAATGGAGGCCCAGAGCCACAGGGCTAGGAAGCACAAGGGCCAGGACTCGGGTTTCTGCCTTCCTGGGTAGAAGTGGGGGGCAGCTAGGGGTGCAGCCCCAGGGTGCAGCCTCTGTCCACTGGCCTGATGGAGGGCTGCCCCTGAGGCCCCGGCACCCTGCATGCTGGGAGGGGGCTTGGGGCCCATCAACACCATAATTTTTAGAAGGCATCCATGACGTGCCAGACTATGCACCAAACTCTGCTGGGTGCTTTGCCAAGAAAGCCCGTGGAGCTGTTTCCTGCCTCTCAGGAGCTTCCCATGTAAGCCAGGCTGCGGGCTCAGACCCAAGTATGATGCACAAAAACAGCAGACAGGGGGCCTGAGAGCCATGTGTGAACAGACGGGCATTTACATCAACAGCAGGCTAGGTAGAAGTGAACTTTAAGGGTGGAGGCAAGGAAGATTACCTCCAGAAACTTCCATTGCCAAGTATCATATTTGCCTTGGGATTCTGTACCTTCCTTCCACTCCCTACACTGTGGCACAAATAAATCACCAGCCACGGAGAGGGCTCTCTCTCTTTTGTCACCAATGAAAGGATCTTCTCTAAGATATCTTTCATCTTTAACGTTCTAGAATTCTGATGCCTTTGCCGCCAGGCTCTTTGAACTGGGGCGGACTGCTCCTCTCCGCCCTGCCACCCAGCGCTTGGCCAGGCCTTCACCCCTCTGGCCAGCTCTGCCCCTGAGCTCCCAGGTTAGCTGGGGGCTGGGGGTGGAACACACGCGGGGGGCACTCAGAGCTGGGCAGAGGCATGATGGGAGTGTGATGGGGGAGGGAGAGTGAATCACAACCCTGATGAGTTAGGGACTTTTCTCATCTAAGGCGAGAGAAAACAAGCCCTGAAGAGTCGTTTACCTTGACTGGTGTTGCAGCAGGTCCCCATGTATATGTGAGACCCAGGGTTGTCCCTGTCCTCTTGGGGCATCCTGTGGCCCTATGGGGCCTCTGGTGCATGCACGATTGCTCACTTTATACCCTGAGTCTCCTTGCTGTCACTTTTTTTGTAAAACCCTATGTTTAGAGGAGCAATGTCTCAGGTTAAGGGGGTTAAGAAATTATACTCTGGGGCCAGATTTGCCGGCTCTGCCCTTATCAGCTGTGTGTCCCTGGGCAAGCTCCTCCACTTCTCTGCCTCAGTTTTCCTTTCTGCAAAACAAGGACTATTGGTAATAATTACCTCGCATGATTATGGAGAAGAGTAAATGAGTTCAGGTAGATAAAGGCCTTGAAACAGTGCCTGGCACAGACTGAGCCTGTACAGGTGACAACAGGTGTCATGATGCTCCTCCAGCCAGATAGGCAGCAGTGTTCTAATGTAGTCTGAAAGTTGACCAGGCATCAGGATTTCCTGGAGGGCTTCTTAAAACACAGTTTCTTGGGTCCCATCCCCGGATATTCTAACTGAGTAAGTCTGGGGCCCAAGAATTGGCACTTCTAACAAGTCCCCAGGTGACCTTGAGGCTGCTGGCTCTGGGATCACACTGTGAGAACCAATATCATTATTATCAACACCCAGATTCAGAGAGCAGCCACTGAGCCAGACATGGTGCTAAGCTCCTTTCATGCAGCTCAGGAAGTTGTGGTGCTGAAGGTTCAGTACTTAACAGAAGCTCCCCAGCTAGTTAATGAGGATATACAGATAGATCCGGTACTTGAACCCAAGTCAGTCTGACTCCAGAACGTGTCAACTCATCAACCAGCCTCAGGTCTTCATTCAACTGGTATTTATGGAGCGTTTGATAAATGCTGTCTGCGCATAGCACTGCGGAGTTCACAAAGCAATTTCAAATACATTTCCTCATTTCATACGCACAAAAGCCCGTGAAGTAGGTCAAGTATTAATATCGCCTGCCTTTACAAGGAAAATGTAATTACAGATGGAAACGAAGGCTGGGAGCGGCCCCGGTGCCTGGTTCATGATTGCACAGCTAGTGGATGGTGAGACCACCTGGCCTCCCACACTGCCATAACCTACCGCCTCTCGGGGTGCTCCACGTGGGCCCCCCAGTTAGGGTGCAGCAGGTGGAAAGCTGGAGATGTAGGCACTGCCTGCGCAGCCACCCTCTGGCAGAGAGGTGAGCTGTGTATAGGAGACTTGGTTCTGGAATAATTCCCGGGCAAGGTTGACCTGGATATGCCAGTGAGGTGGGCCAAGGTGGTGTAAGGAACGGGCAGGGGACAGCCGCGGTTGGGGTGAAGCAAAGAACAAGGATGTGCTAAGCTGGGCCCTGTGGGAAAGGGAGGGTTGGCTTTGCTATGGAGTGGCTGGTGAGGTGTCCTGGCAGAAAAGCTGGTGAGGGCAAAGGAGGGAGGCCTGGGCAACCAGGCTCTGGGTGGTGGAAATGAGGTTTGGGGCAGCAGGGAAGGCCTGGGCGACCATCTGGGCCAGGCCAGGCCCCCTGAACTGGACTTGACCTTGCCCTTTTTCCTTCCACCCCTGGACCCCAGCGCGCCTGCCCACCTCAGGCCCCCCCAGCCCCTAGCGACTTTTGAGGAGCCCCCCGCCATCACTCCAATTGCTCTGATTAGAGGAGCAAAAACAAGCCAGGTGTTACCAGGAAATGGTCTAATTAGCACTTACTGCTGACGATTTCTTTTTTTTCTTTTTTAAACCCTGGACATTTTTTATTCGCTAATCATCTCTCAGTTCAACCAGCACAGAGCTGCACGCGATTTACCTTTTGATGTTCACAGAAGAGAACTCTTGAATTTCAAAGAGCCGGCAGAGATTTGGGGGACTGGCAAGCAGAAGCTGCAGCCCTCATCAAACCTCATTAGAGGGTATTCTTCCAGCGGCTTTTCCCTCTCCTCCTGCCTCCCTCTTCCCCTCCCTCTCTGATTAGAGGGCTGCTTGGTGGGTTTGCCTGTGTTTTCTTTGGGACTTCATGGTGAGGATCCCCTCCCACCACCTCCTGCCCCTCCCTGTCCCCACCTCCCAATGGAGGCTCAGGGCTCCGGGTGGAGGTCCCTCCCTCCACCTTACACTAGTTGCCATGGTGAGAATTAAGGCTTCATAAATAAAGGTAGCTCTAGGCAGAGTTCTCCTGGAGAGTCTCTGCATCCTGCTGGGGAAGGCGGCTCACCAGAAACAGGGCTCAGAGTGGTCCTCCTGAGAGGGGGACGCACACAGCACCTCAGCCAGCACCCAACTGAAGCCCCTCGCCCACTCCCATGGCTGTGGCTGTCCTACAGGGGGCATTGTGGCCCAGGAATGTTTCTGAGGAACCATGTAGTTTGGGGCCTTCAGGAGAAGCAGAATTGAGCCATCCCAGTCAGGCCTGAGGGCCAGCGTGAACACGCAAACCCCGCCTTGTCCCATGGGAACAGATCCACAGCACAGGAGGGTAATGAAGTCGATTCAAAAATCATTACTGACACACAAAGTAGTAATAATTATTACTTCGTTGCAGACATTGTGCTAAATGCTTTGGATACATTTTCTCCCTTAATTCTCCCAACAGCCCTGTGAAATGGGTACTACTATTATTATCCCCATTTTACAGATGAGAATACTTTACTGCAGAGAGCAGTAAAGTAACTTGCCCAAGATTGCACAGCTTGTAGTAAGTAGTTCCTAAACCATAAGCTTCTGGAGGGCAGACCTCACGTCTCCTTTGTTCCTCATCACATACCCAGTGCTAGCACATAGTAGGTGTACGCTAAATATCCCTGGAGGAAATGGCTATGGGTCAAGGTGCTGTTCTTGGACTCTGGCAACACAGAGAGTAACTTAACAAGGCCCCTGCCCCGGGGATATAACCATCTAAGGGCCAGCAAAACCCACTCAGAGTCAGACAACAATGAAAGCCACGCGAAGCTTCTGATACAAACTGCTGCGGGTCCCAGAGAAGGAAGGGATTACTTCTCACTAAGTAGGCTGGAAGGCTGTTAGAGAGGAAGTGACCTTTGAACTGGCCCTTGTGGCCGAGGAGGGCATTTCAAGCTTCGTCGGCAATAGAACAGACTCTTCCTTGTGAATGAGCAGGACTTCTCCAGGTAACGCGCTGGGCATGAGGAGTTCGGAAAAGGGAGCTGGCTCCCGATGGTGAAGGCCTGGAGGAGCAGGCTCAGGGTTTGGGGTGTAGATGGGGAGACCCATGGTAGGGGTTTGGTCAATGCATTTATTTGCATTAACAAGGAAAGTCACACAATCAGAGATCAGATCTGTGCTTTAGAAAGCTCACTCTGGAGGCCACAGCGGGCTGGTGCAGGTCCAGGCTCCTGCAAGAAAATGGGCCAAAGAGGTTGAACCAGGATGGAGGTGTAAGAGGTGAAAAAGACTGGCGTGACATTTTCAAGCAGAAGCAGCAAGTCTTGGTCCCTGATTTGCTGTGGAGCTGCAGAGAGGGGAGGGTCGTTGAGGAGGACCCCTGGGTTTCTGTCCAGGTGCTAGGTGGGTGGTGGAGGCCTTCACCAAGAGGAGGCAGAGTTGTATCCCAGTGGCTCACGGGTGAGCAACGTGACTTTGGTTGCTCTGAGTTTTCACTCCTCAAAGGCAGTGGCGTCTATTTAAAACTCAGGTTAGTACATGTATTTTGCCACTAGAAGCGTAACGATCTTTCCTCTTTTCATCTCACAGTGTATTAAACCGCACCCCTATGAATCTGATCAAGGAAATCATATTAGTGGATGACTTCAGCAATGACCGTAAGTAGCATCGCTCCCTCTCTCTGTCTGTTCCCAGCCCCTGCGTAACAAGGAGAGGCGAGCCCCCTGGTTCTCAGGGGAGGGACGAAAGCCTGGGTTTGTACTAGGTATGGAAGACTTTGAGTGTCCATGTGGGGCTCAAGAAGGAGATAAACCTTACATTTAAAAAATAATTTCTTGGGTTCTCTGCTGTGAGGACCTAAGCAGGTAAATTTAGCAGATTCTTGATTGGGTTGGTGTGTGTATGCATGTGTGCATGCATGCGTGTGCACGTGCTTGTGTGTCACTGCCCCCTAACCTGCATTCCTGGAAATGGGAAAGGATCTGAGCCTTCAAAGGATCAACACTGGGACCTAGAGCCCAGAAGCAGTGCCCATCACTAGAGATTCGTGACTCGTGTGCTGTAGTGATGTGCCAGCCTGAGCTGAGCCTAACATACCCTCTCCCTTTCATCCCCACGGCACGACTGGGTGAGCTCTGTGTTTGGGACCCCCTGCAGGATATCCCATCACCTGGCCATGACACAGTGAGCAGCTGCCTTCCAACCCACTGGTCATCACCATTTCCTAGTTGTTCTATCAAAGAACCTGGGTCCCACACAAATTCACCCTCCAAATCCACATTCCCCAGGAAAAGAATGCAGGTGTTTTCCAACATCTGTGTGTTCAGTTTGACAGGCATGATAATTGTAAAAGCATCGTTAGACTTCAAGTAATTGGGATTCTGACATCTCCTCTGAGAGCCATCATGCCAGCAGCCTGGGTCCGGTCCCAGGCAGTCACCCACATCCAGGGAAAACTGCTTCTTCCTGGTGATAAGCCAGGGGGGGAAGCAGGCAGTGGCCACTGGGGACAGCTCCGAGTTGCAAGAGAGTAGAGTTTGTCTCCGCCAGTGCTGATGCTGGAAGCTGGGCATAGAGGCCACTACCATGCTTGGGTCTGCTGTAGGAAGGCTACAAATCTACACCTATGACATAGCCTCAGAACCTTGGAAGTAATGCCTAAGTGGACCAGGTCAAGAGTGATAGGATCAGACTCTGAATTCTGAGACTCCATGATCTGATCGCCCCTCCCTGGTGAGGAAGGGCTTGGAGGTGGGGAGACACTCATCCTGCTGGGAGGTAGCCTGGTGCTGAGGCTGGAGGAGGGAGTGCTGTGAGATTCACTTGGAACCAGAACAGCCCAGTGGTTATTCCCAGAATGGACTCTGGAGCCAGACTGCCTGGCTTCAAATCCTAGACCTGTCACTTACTTACTTACTTACTAGCTCTGTGCCTTGAGCAAATTATTAACCTGGATGTGCCTCAGTTTCCTTGATTATAAATTGGTGATAATAATTATTTTATATATAGTTTAGATAAGGATTTAAATGTGTTAACACAAAGTGCTTAGAATAGTACCTGGGCCCCAAGGAAGCCTCTATGAGTCTGTGTAGTCACTCTGTAGAGTCCAGAGAAGCAGAGAGGCTAAGGTTGGTAAACCAATGGGCCAAAACCAAAATGGCGGGGTCACGATATGGAGTTCAGAGCCAAGAACTGGTGAGCCAAAGAAGTGATGAGGCAGGCGGGCAAGCTGGAGGACAACGCAGGGCGAATGCCCAAGATGGGGTCTCTTGTCTAGCCTGGCATATTTCCCTGCCTGGTGGAGAGTTGAAGCAGCTCTTGTGATGGAAAACACACTGGACAGATCCCTTAACAAATAAGGTCTCCTGTATTATGGGTCCATGATCTGAAAGGAAACTCCAAAATTCATGTCATCCATTCTCTGGCCTCCTGGAAGCTTTTTACCAGACCCCACTAAAGTGAATAGGACTCTTACCTCAGACTTTGAAAGACCTGTAGAAAGGAGAAATGTCCCCAGTGTCCATGCCAAGATTTCCCATCCAGAAGTGTTCCATCAAGTATGCAGGTGCCATTGTGTGATTGACCTGCTCCAAAGAGGCCCCTCACTTTGCACAGACTGGGCCACATTGTGTACTGATAGCAGTGTTCATTCAGCCCCTTCCAAAGCCCATAAACACCCTGGAGTCTAGACAGGGCTCCGCAGTTGGGGGTGGAGACAGGAGGCGAGGCTGCCTACTCTTACCTACCTACTACCTACTACTTCAGGTTCACCTCCATCCCCTGGCACTCACTCCAGGTGATCTTTTGTCTTTGCAGCTGATGACTGCAATCAGCTCATCAAGTTACCCAAGGTGAAATGCTTACGCAATGAAAACCGACAAGGTAGGTCTGTGTGGCTGGGTGGGACCTGGGGATGTCGATGTGGCAGACTGGTGGGGTGTATGTGCATTTGGGTGTGTGTTCGGTGCGTGGAGGGAATGCTGAGTGGCTCCTCCATGGGCTTGCTGGATGATGGAGTGACAGGGGCACCCACTGGGCCATTTATCCCTACTGCAGGTCTGGTCCGGTCCCGGATTCGGGGTGCTGATTTTGCCGAGGGTGCCATTCTGACTTTCATGGACAGCCACTGTGAGGTGAACAGGGACTGGCTCCAGCCCCTGCTGCACAGAGTCAAAGAGGTGAGTGAGGCCAACTGAGGAGCAGGGCTGGCTTCCTTGCCCCCCAATTTCTCTAGGATTCCTAAGCTCATTACCTCACCTGTGCCCCCAAGTGCCTCTGGGAGGTGGGCAGGACAGACTGCTGTCCCCATTTTATAGATGAAGAGACTGAGGTAGACAGCAGGCAGTGGTGGAGCAAGGCCCAGACCCGTTGTCTGTACCATACCGTCACCCACAGCAGGCCTGCAGGGGGTGCTGCAGGCACCTGATACATGACACACGCAGCTTCCTGGCAGGAGAACTGCCCAGACCAATTTCTCCCAGACTTTAGAAGGTTCCAGAAAGGGATCCCTGATGAGTGTCGTTGTGAAAAGGCAGTGGAATTAGCCAGGCCTCATCACCTAATTCCTGACACCTCTGTCTTACCTCTACCCACATGTCACCCTCACCCAAAGGCTAAGGCAGGTGGGCTGGATCCTAAGAGACCTGAATTCCTTGCCTCTGTCTGCCTTTAAGTTACTCTGGAAGTCTGTCTGCTTCTTCTCTCCATGTCTCAGTTACTCCTCTTGAAAGTGAAAAAAAATTTAAATTTTTCCCATCTTGATTTTGTACTCCCAGAAGTCCATCCACCCCGTCCTGATCTACAGGAGGCACTGCATGTTGTAGACACAGGGTCGGTGATGAGCATCCGTGCAGTTCACCTTCTCCCTGAGTTACTGACTCCTGCAGCTGCTCTGTGAAGTACAAGGCCGGGTATTTTTCACATACCCATTTCGCAGATGAGGATACCATCTGGAAGGGATTATGTAACTTGGGCTGATATTCCCTAGCTGGTACCATCAGCACTGGAACCTCAATGTTTCCTCAACAGCATCTTCCCTGTGCTGTGGTTATTTCCTTCTCACTCTTCGAGGTAGCTACTCCCCTCCTACCTGCAAAATGATGGTGTTAAAAGGATGAAAGACTTGAGGTGTGTGAAGAGCTCAGAGGACTAGGAAATCCTTACCAACTTTGTTCATTCCAATGAGGGAACCTCGGTGGATTGACAGCATTCTTACACGTGGGCCTCGATGTTGAACCCATCTCATGACCACTTTCCCTGAGATGGGGAGGGCTCCTACATTTAGTGCTGTTTAGGAAAATCCCGTCTGCCTGCTTTTTGACATAATCCCAGCGAAGAGGTCTGGATTGAGAAATAGTAGGTTATGAACAGACTATTCAGTTGAGGGGCTTTGCCTGGCCCTGGGGCCCTTCCAAATCCTCCCCTCCCTAGGTGCTCCCCAGCCGCAGAGAGAGGGGAGGGCCTGTGGCCACAGCACACCGCCTCCCCAGTCTAACGCTCTGACGAAGCTGGGCTGCTCCTTCTTCCTGAACGTGCCAACACTCCCACTGCTCCACCTCTGACTAAGCTTTTCTTGTCCCCGATGCCTTTCCCCTCCTCTGCACAACCCTGTTCTCTTCAGGGCCTCGTCCACATCTCCCCTAGTCCAGGAAGCTTTTCTGGACTGCATGGCCAGCTAGGATCATTCCTGGCAAGAATTGTCCCTTTGGCCCCGCAGTTTCCTTTTCTAGGTATAGTTAAAACCCAGTGGGGACACCAGTCACCTCCTTGTGGTCATAGAGTATGGTGCTCAGTGTTCGGAAATGATAATAATAAGAAACGAGATGCAGTGCTTGCGGAGGCGATAAGGTTGGAATAGGAGGAAGGCAGGCTCACTTCCTGCCCCTAAAGTAACTGACATTTATTGAGCACCTGTTTTGGGCAGTTTCGAGGGAGAGTTGGAATGGGCCGTAAGCCAAATCCACACCCCACTTAGTTCGCCAACCTGGAAGCTCCCCAAACCCCATGGTGTAGGGTTTTTATGGAGCCTTCATCACTTGGAGTAGGCATGATTGATTAAATCATTGGCCATTGGTGACTGAACTCAATCTCCCGTCCCTCTCCTCTCTCTGGGAGTGGGGGGAGAATGGGGAGGGGGAGGGGAGGGGGTAAGCATTGGAGCTGACAGTTCCAAACCTCCAATCACAGGGTTGGTTCCTCCAGTACCAGCCCCATCCCCCAAGAGCCGCCTCATTAGCATAAACTCAGGTATAGTGAAAGAGGCTTATTATGAATAACAAAAGACACTCTTCTCACCCCAATCATTCAGGAAATTACAAGCGTTTTAGAAGCTCTGTGCCATGAACCAGGAACAAAAGCCAAATACATATTTCTTCTTATATCACAACATCAACATCACAGTCTATACCACGTTTTGTTATCCATTCATCTGCTGGTGGACAGTTGGATTGTTTCCACTCTTTTACTCTTAGGAATAACGTGCTGCCGCTCACATTGGTGTACAGGTTTTCATTTGAGTGCCTGCTTTCAGTTCTTTGGGGTATAGACCAAAGAGTGGAATTGCTGGGTCCTGTGGTAATTCAGTGTTTGACCTATCGGCTCGCCCAGGCTGGTGTGTCCCTGCAGGATGTGTTAGGGGGGCTTTGCTTTCCTTGGGCAGCCTTAAGGAACCTGCCAGGCCCTTTCCATCCCCGAAGCCATCTCTGAAAAATGCTGTTTCCACCTCTCTGGCCAGCCTCAGGCCAGGTCCAGGGAGCCGCCTTCTCCTCCTCCCTGCATGTGAGTGCTGCCTGCGGTCCAGCACTCCTCCTAGGGGAGTCATTGGGCCCCAAGATAGAGCTCAACCTCCCAGGCTGAGCTCCAGGGCCCCACCGCAGTCTGACTTAAAGCTTTTATATCAGAAGATGAGTCAGACAGACCCCCAACTGTGGTCGCACTCTGCATCTCAGGGGGCTGCAGCAGCTTCCGTGGGCTACAGAGGTTTTCACCAGACCCTGACCCTTGATAAAGGTTGGTTACGCTGAGACATAGACATCCCCTTCGGGACAGGGAGTGTGGGCACGTGTCAGCCTGTGTTACCTCGTGTCGTTATGTGTGTCTTCTCTCACAGTAAAATGTGATTTAATCGTAAGTGGAAGTGGAAATCTTAAGCTGTAATTGGAGTTTGGGATTTTCAAAAATAGAAAGAGATAAGAAAGAGGCTGGGCTTGAGCCGGCAGAAACTGTTCTCAGCTGGTGTTTTCCACATGGAAAATCTCCTCCATTTCCCTTCCCTTCAATTACATGATGATACTTGAAACAAGCCCCAAGTTGGTTTTTATTCTTTTAGCAGAGGCTTCTTTTTTCCTCCTCTTTATCTACATATTTCTTTAGTAGGGAAAAAGATTTTAAGAAATTGGAATTGCTGTAGCATTTGGTAAATTGATACAAACCATGGCTAACATATGCTTCAAAGCCCTCTCACATGCTTTGTTTCTTCCAAAAGGCCTGTTAGAAAGGCAGGACAGTTTCGCAAATCATAATTTGTCTTCACTTTACAGATGAAGAAACAGAATTCCTCAGTGTGTGTTGATTTACTTAAGGTCACGTGCACTGGATGGTAGACCCAGAACTAGAACCAGGTCTCCTGTCATAGCATCTCCTCCCCGAGGACCCCCTCCTGCTCCCCCACCCCTCCCTCTAACCTTGCTTAGGGAGCCTAGTGTCATCCTCTACTGCCTGTCCACCTCCCTCCTTAGACTGTGAGGTCTTATTCATCTTGGTACCACCACAATTCCTAACCCAGAGTAGGTGCTCAGGAATGCTGGTTGAGGAAATAAGTGAATGATCCTCTCTAGGAACTTTTTGATTGCCCATTCACATGTGGTTTTAATTATTTGAATGGGTAGAGAAAGGAGAGGTGTGAATGCAGAGGTGATTGACAGCCGTTGGCTCTCAGTGGAGGGGCGGGGCTCGGACCTGGATTTGTGTAGGGGAGGGGAGAAGAGGTATAGTCCTGGATCTGCCAGGGATTCCACTAGCTGCCTCCTGGAGCCTACCTGTGGACCTAGCCTGAAAGATACAGCCTCCTGGGGCACACAGGTGAGGACCTGTGATGGGTCTGGGTGTCTTTATGGCTGGCAAGTCCTTCTATCCTCAAGCCTATAGGAGGAGAGGCCATCTTTCTCAGCTGTAGTTGACCCACTTGCTTTGCTGCCAGCTATTGACACAGTGTCCTCAGAGGAAGTTAATAGACGCCCTCTCTTAGCCAACGCCCATTGAACACCTGCTGCCCCCCAGGCTCTGGACTGGGACTGAGGGATACAGAAGTGGAGCAAATACTGACCCCCAGGGTCACTCAGAGAGGTTTGTGTCCTGGCTTTAATGAGCCATTTATAAAGTCTCCTGCAGCCCCTTTTCAAGGTCATGGGTCCATCCAGCACTTAGCCCCAAACACCCCTCACTACCTGTCTGGTCTCCATGACTTCAAGCAGATACCACAACTGAGTTGTGACAGGAAACCCTCAGAACTTATAGGGAGGGTACACCAAAGCCTGTTGCAACCCTGGAGACAGAGCCCATGGTGGCTTCTGAGGAAGCCTGTGGCTGAGGTAGGCAACCAGCAATTTATCTTGCATTTTGGTTTTCATATTAAGGAAAGTTTTTTAAAACCTAGGATTGCAGTTTTGGGGGGTCCCAAAGGCCACCCTCAGGTTCAATAATTCACTTGAAGGACTCGGAATTTAGCAAAGCTGTCACACACATAGTTACTGTTTATTACAGCAAAAGGACACAAATCAAAACCAGCAATGGGAAAAGGTAAATAGAGAGAGTTCCAGGCACGAGTGTCCAGTTGTCTTCTCCCCGTGGTGTACAGACAGCACTTACTTCTCCCAGAAAGGATGTATAGCAACACATGTAGAGTATCACAACACAGGGAAGCCTCCCAAGCTTTGGTGTCCAGAGTTTTTGTGGGGGGTCAGTCATATAGACATGGCTGATCACCCCCATGGTCTCCACGCCCTTCCAGAGGTCAAGTTGAGTTGGAACCACATGGCCCAGGGCCCTCGCTGTAAATCACATTGTTAGCATAGACTCTCTGGTATAGCCCAAGGCTCCCAGGTAAACAGAGACACTCCTATAGGCAGGACATTCTGAGGGCTTAGAAGTTACCTCCCAGAAGCTGGGCAAGGGCCAAACATATCTTTGGGCAAGGTTAATCCTTTACTGCACAAGGGTCTGCATAAGGACTTAGTGAAGCTACAGAGGCCCCGAAACTCAGCAAGCAAAGGCAAAATGAGGACTTTATCAGAAGGTCCATCTCTGGACTTCTGAGAACATTTCAGAAGTCAAGTCACAAGAATGTCTTTGGGATGTGTCCATGGGTAAGTATTGACGTAGAGGACTGTATATATGTGCGCAGTGTGTAGACACACAGAGACACACGATGACAATGGCGAAGAGGAGCCCCAGCGAACTGTGACAGCTGGGCAAGTGCTGTGTTGACTGTGAAGGAAACATCTGTGCACATCCCAGAGGTAGAAGCAATGCATTGAAAATGAGCATTTCTTTCCACGTGGTCCAGTTGGCTTCCAAGGCACCTTGTCACTGTCAGGATGAGTCACACGTGGAGGCTGAGGGCCAAATTAAGTCTGTGAACATAAAAGCAGGCACTCTGTGAATCTGAGCTTAAAATAAGAAGACAGCCTCATTTGGGAGAGAAATTGAACCAGGAAATTAAATGGCTGTAAGGAGAGGTGGGGGTTCCTGCCTGTGCTGTCCAGGAGTAGTAGGTGCAGAGGATTGGAAAAGTGGTCCTGCCTGGTTTGCCCAGACCTGTTGGCTCTCCCAGCCTGCTTGATTCCCATTTGGCTATCCAGTCTCCATGTTCACAGCTTGTTTATACTGCCCACCAGGGCATGCCAGGTACAGGGGTGTTCACTCAGAATTAGGGAACATTTTTAAAATATATGCAATGCCTTGATGGGCCCCAAGAACTGGTGAATTTGTCTTGCAGATTTTGAAAATGTTCCCTGGACTTTGATGCCTGTAGACAGGGTGGCCTGGGGGAAGTCGCAAGCAATGAGGCTAGAAAGTGGATGCAGACCTATTTTTTATGGTCTTGGATGGCAGGCTAAGGAGTTTGAACCTTATCTTCCAGGCAATTCAAGTTTTTAGCTGTTGAGCTGCAGAGTGAGATTTGTGTCTCAGAAAGACAACTTTGTCAGCTGCCTGTAGGATGAAAGGGAAAAGGTGAGGTGGGGTGGGAAAGACTAGGGGTCCATTGCAGTACTCCAGGTGTGAGGGGGAAAGGAGGGCAGGATTCATTCAGAAGAGTGGTTTCAGAGTTAGAATCGGCAGCATTGATCCGGGTGATGGACAGAGGTGAAGCTTCTTAATTTAGGGCTTGGGAGGAAGGGGGAAATGCAATGGTTCTGTTCACAGAAATAGGGGACCGAGGGGAAGGAGCGTGTTTGGGAAGACGCTGATGAAGCCGCCACCAAAAGGCTGGGTGAAATCCACATGGAGGTGGCCAATCGCATCCTGGATCCAAGTCTGGCAGGGAGGAAGGAGGGCAGGGCTGGAGGCCCTGATTTGTGTGTACACAGGTGGCAACTGAAGTGAGGAATCTCTGGAGATGCTATTAATCAACTTGCCTATGAACCACAAGCACAGAATGAAAGTATTTGGAAATTCCAAGAGGTCCCCTCTGTGGGTGTGTGGCTTTGCTTCTTGGGTGGACAGGCTTGAGGTCACCTTCCGGCTGACTGTATCCTGAGAGCCCACTGATGGTGAAGGACGTCTAGAGCCCCTTTCTTCTTAATTTCACCTTTTGGGGTGCAGTGCTCTCCAGCCAGCCTCCACTTTGTCTCCACGATGCTTAGATGGCCACTGAGGCTGAGAAGGCCCCCAGGGGTCAGAGAAAGGCTCTTAGTATTTTAGGCATCAGAACTAGAGAGGTCACAGCATCCAGTGCCCTCAGTTTATAGATGAGAAATTTGAGATCCAGAGATGAACGTGCTTGGCCAAGGCCACAAAACCAGTCTCTGGCACTAGAAGGGCGAGACTCTGCCAAGCCCCCTGATTCCCGGCCTGGCTCCTCGACTCTGAACACTGAGCACAGGGTCTGTTGTTTTACAGGATTACACGCGCGTGGTGTGCCCTGTGATTGATATCATCAACCTGGACAACTTCAACTACATCGAGTCGGCCACAGAGCTCAGAGGGGGTGAGTGGGGCTAACGCCTTCTCCCCAGTAAGGAATTTCTTTTTCTCCTTGTCATTGCTTTCAAGGCGGAAAGTGAGGAAAAGTCTCTTGGTGGTTTGTCTGGAACGTCCAGTCCTGCATCCTGCAGTGTCAGTGGCTCCAGAGTGACCCTTATCACTTAGACTGTGAATGGAAGGGCCCAGGGAGTGGGCAGGACCTTCCCAGCCCCCACAGCTCTGGCTCAACACAGAACTCACTCCAGGACCTGAGAATGTGAGGAAAGCAGGGACGCCTGGCTCTGTGGGGCCTGGATTGTTCTGGTACCTCAGCAGTAGGCACCACACTCTCCTCAAGGCCCACCACAGCTCTCTGCCCAGGGCTGGTGCTGTCCGCACCCCAAGACTGATTAGAGGTGATTCAGCCCCTCACAAACCTCCTGCTTACACCTTCCCGAGGCTCCTGGCCAAGGTACACATCCCATAACTGTCTATCTTTTCCTCCTTGGGCCCTCCTCTTGGGGTCTGTCTGATCTCACGGTTTATCCTCTGCCCTTTATTCTCTAACTCACCTGGGAGAGAAGGCCCAGAGAGGCAGTAGGAGGTAGAGAAAGAGAAGGAAAGGTAAAGTCTGCAGCCCTGTTGCTGATCAACCTAGTGAGACCCATTATCCCTGGGACCAGCTTCCCTGGGAAACTAGGCACATTCTTGAACTTCTAGCAAAGGGACAGAATGAGCAAGCTCTGCAGATAGATCTGAGAGACTAAATCAACCGAGTGGGTGCTGTGTTCCAGGGTTTGACTGGAGCCTCCACTTTCAATGGGAGCAGCTCTCCCCAGAGCAGAAGGCTCAGCGCCTGGACCCTGCTGAACCCATCAGGTAAGTCAGGGCAGGGGTGGCATGGACAGACTCCGTTTGATCCTTCCTACTGTCACATGGTATAAGGAGTCATCCCACATTAGATGCTCAAAAGATTGGGGAGAGACCAAGAGAATGCTTTGCCAGGCCAGCTCTATTTTTGCCCTTATTTTAGGAGGTTTCTGTCTGCATGGAGACTTCTGCTAAGGGGATGGGGGCCTGGTAGAGGCCAGTGCTGAGGATTTTGCCCAGTGTATTCCACCCACACGGATGCCGTGATGTACTTATGCTTCCTGCTAAACATTGGAGGGTCCCACATGGTCCATTTTGAGCCTCTGACAAGGGAAAGATGGTCCCTTAGGGGCAGGAGCAGAGCCCCTGGCTCTTGGATGTCAGGATTGAGCCCAGGAAAGTTGAGTCAGCCATTGCTGTAAGGGGAGGCTGCTATCAAGGCATGGCCACTGCTACTTGTTAACAAACAACTCTGTTCTATTCTGTGCAAGAACATGATGGTGGCATCAACTCTGCGTTGCTTTCGCAGTTCTGTAGATGGCTTTGTCCCGATCTGCATTCTCTCTTCCACTCCGCATTGTGACTCACAGCACATGGTAGAAAGATGGCTGCCTGGGGTTTGGGGCCTATCTGAGGGCTCAGCATAGAATAGAGCATAGGGGTCCACCTAGTGGGGGAGCCTCTTGTCTCAGCATCAAGAGTGTGTGGCCTCGATGTTCCTGCCTAAGATTGGATGGTAAGCACGTCCCAGATTTGTTGGGAATCTCCAAGCTAAATCATATCTGCCTCAGGTCGGGTGTCAGGAGGATAGGAAGTGCTTGAAGAGGTACAGAGGTCACTGAACTGGGATTTCTCCAGCCAGTACCTTAGGGATTCCCTGAACTCTTCAAGGGCATCTCTGCATCACTGGGGCCTGCCACATATAAATGTTTGAAATCACTTACCTCAAATTGAGAACCGAAGGGCTATGATGAGCTGAATGGTGATGCTCCAGAAAGAGGTGTAGGGATTGAGAAATCTCTACCGTGGGACCTCTGTTTCATCTACCTGCTAGCCCCTCCGCCTTCCTCTAGCCTTCGTGATCTAGAGTGATGCCAAGAGGGAGACTGGAGCCAGATGGCACTCTCGATAATTCCCTTTATTTCTAAAGGGAGAGTAAAACCTTCTTACCATACCTAGCACCATGCAGCTCCTCGGTCACTCACCAATGGCAGCACCTGATGTGAGTATGGTATGGGAAGAGCATCTGCCTGCCTAGACACCTCAAAGCAGTGGGCCAAGTTGACGATAAAGGTAGTGGTGGTGCAGCTGCCTCTGGGTTTTTCCCTTCTCTGTCCCAGGGGTGGGGTTCTCAGGGCAGGTTCTCTTCTCTGCTCATCAGAGAACAAGAGTTTCCCAAGATTAGGCTAGTTCTTGGGGAACAGCAGGGTGTCATGGCAGCAGGAGACCAAGGCTTCTGACCTGCTCCCCGTCAACTAACTGTTTGACATAGGAGAAAACTCCGTTCACCCTCTGGGCCCACTGAATGAGGGGCCAGGGCCCTTAGGGCTTGCCCACCTACCCCAGCCATTGGTTCTTACAGACTCACATCCCTATACTTACCGTGTTATTTGGTTGCACTCTGCTACCCTTGCCTGCCTTCCTCTGTAACCCCTTTTCTTTCCAAGCGGCTTCTCTCAGCAGTTGAAGGTGGGGGAGGTTGGATGGGACCCCAAGAAAAGAAAATGAAGATGAGGGTATATTGGTTTGCTAGGGCTGCTGTAACAAAGTACCACAGACTGAGTGGCTTAAACAACAGAGACATATTGTCTCACAGCTCTGGAGGCTGGAAGTCCAAATCAAGGTGTTGGCAGGATTGGTTCCTTCTGAGGGCTATGCCAGACCTCTCCTCTTGGCTTGCAGATGGCTCTTCTCTCTATGCATGTCTACCTCTGTGGCTAAATGTCCCCTTTTTATATGAAGATTAGTCATATTGGATTGGGGTCCACCCTAATGACCTCATTTTAACTTGATTACCTCTTGATTACCTCTCTCCAAATAAGGTCACATTCTGAGGTACTGGGGTTAGGACCCCAATACATTTTTTAGGGGGACAAAACTAAATCCATTACAGAGGGGAAAAGAGCGAGAGAGAGCCCAGCTTCAAGAAATGGATGTACTGTTAACACGTGCTTGTCAGCCCTTCTCTGCCTACTCAGTGCCCACCATCCCCACTCCCAAGAGTGGAGCTCCCAAGGGAGCTACACTGAGCAGGGCCTGTGGGAGAGGCCAGTGGAGGCTCCCCAGGCTCTCAGGACAGCTGGGGTTCTGAGAGAGTCCCAGCCCCCACAGGAGATGTGCTGATGAGTGACTTAGCTTCTCTGCAAGATAAATGGAAAGTAGAAAATGTATTGGCCCTTCTGAAGAGGAGCAGAAATGGGAAGAAAATGGCCTTGAGTTCTGAATTTCCAGGGAAAAAGAATGTGACAGTGGTCTTCCTGCCCTAACTGATCCTCTTTTCCTTCCAAATGCACAGGACTCCAGTCATAGCTGGAGGGCTCTTCGTGATGAACAAATCCTGGTTCGATTACCTGGGGAAATATGACATGGACATGGACATCTGGGGTGGGGAGAACTTTGGTGAGTTACTGTCTCTGCGTCCTGGGGCTGAGGGGGGGATCTCTGGGTCCTTGGACTGCATGCGCCTGGGATGAGGCCTGGGGAGATGAGGAGTAAGTCACTCCTCTGAGGGAAGGCTGGGTGGGGCACCAGAGGAGTGGTTGCTGAGAGAGCAGAGGTAACAAGGGATTTCTCCATGGACCACATGGATGCTGAGGACAAATGAAGCATGCCCAGGCAGACTGTTAGGGGACAGTTGAGACGCAGAAGCCAGGAAGACTAAGGAGGAACCCCAAGTGTGAGGGCCAGAAGAGACTTGAGCTAGGAGCACTGAACTTGGAAATTTGGAGGTAGAAAGAGAATGAGGATAAGGAGAATGAGGAGCAGGATTGACAGCAACGCCGTGGACATCTGGAGAACATCTGTTGACTGCTCTATGCCTATAGCGCTCAGCACTAGGTGAATGGGGAAGATCTGGGGCGACTGCTACAGAAACCCTGGGGGTGTCTTGCCCTGTCTCTTAGTGCAGAGAAAGGCTTGGGGATGAAGAGGCTGGGTTACAGGTTCCAAAACTGTGGAAACAGATGGCTAGGTCTGGCCACAGTGGTGCAGGGCTGTGGTTTGCGGCTGTGGGAGAAAGAGCAGTCAGAAACCCATTCCATTGAGCTGATGATGCTGAGTGACCCTCCAGCTTCCTTGGGTATTAAAAGTTTGAGGCAGGGGTGCCTCTTGGTGTTGTTGTGAAAACTCAGTGAGGCAAGTCTGTAAAAATCCTGGCAGCATATGGGCACAATAATGTTAGTTTCCGTTCCTTCCTTTAGCAGGTGAGACCTAAGGGATGACTAGAAGTTAAGCTGCACAAGACAGGGATTTGGGTCCATTTTGTTCACAGCTGTCCCTCTGGTGCTTAGTATAGTGCCTGCCATGAAGGAGGCTTCAGTAACTCTTTGTTAAATAAACCGCAGGAAAAGAAGAATCCCAGAGAGTTGGGGCCCCTTGGCTCTCTGGGCACTGGGGAGCGTGTTTGGCACAGGCTTCTGGAGCAGTGGCGCAAGCCAGGAGAATGATCCATGGGGCTCGTCCTGGCACTTAGCAGTAATCCTGTGCATTGTCCTCTGCCATTGTTTTCTCCTGTCCCTCCCTCCGGAGTATTTTATGGCTTTCTTCCTCAGTCACTAAGAGTTATTTCCTGGAAATTTATGGCTGCTGGCCTGACCCATAGCATCTGTTCTCCCAAACTGGGCAGCATGGAGGAATCCATCAGAAAAGTCTGTCTCCTGCCATTTGGGGGCTGGATCAGACACAGCAGAAAAGCCCAACAACCATAAACCAAACCAAGTGCCCTTCTCGGAACCCAATCCTGGAACGCGATGGGGTTATTTGGGGTGGGTTTGATGTTGGATCTGCCTGCATCAGCCTGAGAGAACCTGGAGCCAGGTAGACCCTTGGCCTTCTCAATGGGGATGAGATTTCTCTCTTTCTGGGCAGCCAGCAGATGTCCTGATGAGCACAGTACTTCTCAGGATCCTTAGTGATGTGCTCTAGCCTTTCCTCCCAGCCCCCAAATGAATCCTTTCTGCAGCATATTTGATAGACAGCAGCCATCCAATTGCTGCTCAAATGCTTCTTATGATGATGCATTTGCTGCTTACAGTTCAGCACATTCTGTCATTGAGAATTTTTGTGTTGAATAGTTAGAAAATTCTTCTAAATTGAAGCCCATCTCCCTCCAGCTTCTGTCTGTCAGGACGTGTTCTGTCCTCTTGAACCTCACAGAGTAGATGTGGTCCTTCCTCCATGTGGCAGTGACATTTGGATTGAGGCAGCAAATTATTTTTAATGATAGCACATTTTGGTCCAACCTACCAGAACCTTCTCTTTATTGCAATGTTGACATACATCCACTCAAATCAAGTGGCCGTCTCATCTACTTGGCTTAGGGAAGTAGGCAGGGGCTTCTGGGGAGGTGTGGGAGAGACATTTTACAATCCATCACAAAATTTTAAACCAACAAAATGCTGCAGACAGCTATCACAGGGAACACTTTGTTTTCACCCGTCCCAACATTCCATCGTGTTATGGCCAGCTCCCAGCACTTTGAAAGCCATTTCTGATTTTTTTTTCTTGGCATTTCATATGCCAGAAAATTCAGTGCTTTTTCAATGGTGGCTATATCACGTGGACAGCTTCAATTCTGCAAGTGAGGATAGCGAGGCACCTGAGAACGTGAAGGTGGGAATTTGGAAGAGTCAGTGCTGGATGGGCTGGTGATCAGGGGGTTGATAGGGCTGGAGAGGGATGCTTCAGCTGTGGAGGAGCGGTGGTGCTGAGGGGTGAAGGCAGCTGCATGTCAGAGTGAAGGAATTCCTTCTCCAGGGGTAGCAGGAGGGGCCCCCCCCCCGCCGCCCCAACACCCCAACTCACCAAGTCCTGGAGAGCCACTCCCTCAGCATGGTTCCCATCCATCTGCCTCTTTCCACCCAGGACTCTCCTGAAAGGTCCTCCACCTCTATTCTGCTCCTGTCAAAGCCCTCATCCCCCACTCCTGCCACAGCACCCTCTCTGAAATGCAGATCTCTCCCACTCTCCTACCAGTGGCTGCTTCTTGTCCTAAGGACGAGGCCCACGCTCCTCAGCTGGGTCGCTCCTTGGCCTTGTCCGCCTCTCCAGCCTTCAGTGCAGAGGCAGTGACAGAACCTCCTGCACTGCCCGGACTTGCGGACCCTCCACAATGACCTGGCCTCCATTCTCCACCAAGCACTGATTCCACCACAGCTCTGGGGCCACCTCTACGGGGCCTGGGACACCTTCCCTGACTGTCTTCTGCCCACCCACCCCCTTGCTCTGTGCCCCTCAGCACCTGGCTCTCCTCTCCACCTTGACACAGAGCCCTCTTATGTATTTGTGTTTATTCTTCCACGCCTGCTGCCCTCCACCTACTAAACCTGGAGCAGGGCAAGAACCTTCATCCGACTTCTTGACCTCAAGGCCTGGAACAGTGGAAACTGCTCCTAACTGTGTGTTCAAAAGCCAGAAACTGCCTGGGAAGGGGAGTCAGGGTGGGAAGGGCAATATATCTCCAATCTATGAGGCTCCCCTTAAATTAGATCTTATTGCGTTAAACGGAGAAAAGGGACAATGGCAGGTAGAGGTACCTTTCCTTTCCATGAAATGGGATCTCTGTGTGTTCTAGACGTGTTTGCCTGTGTTGCACTGGCTTTATTTCACAGCACAAAAATCTGTGAGATGTTGGAAAAGGCTCTGGCCAGGGCCACCATGACCATGACCATCCTCAGTGGCCCGCTGGCCCTGCCCATCCCGCTTTCCTGCCTTGGCAGCAGCTTCAGCGGCAGCCTGAAAGCCCGCCCCACGCACAGGCACTCACCCAGCCTGACCCTGGGGCCATCGTTCCAGCAAAGTGTTTCTGAGATGAGCTGAATAGTTTTGATAATTACATCTGCAGTACAGCATAGGAACAGGCTTTAGGGAAATGTGGCTTTTAGCCTTTTTTTTTCAGAAGTTGTTTTGCATTAAAATTGGATGCTTAAACTCCAATTTGCATAACACAGGATACGTGTAATATATCTAACACATCTACTCACTTGAAGTGCATCTCACTTTTAGCTTTTGGTCGTTAGAGATAGAAGGAAGCTGTTGCCCCTGTAAGCAGTGTGTATGTGTGTGTGTGTGTGTGTGTGTGTGTGGTGGTGGGATGGGGACTGCACATTTCCAAAAAGGAGGCTTTGGCACATATATGAAGAGTGAGTATGGGATTCCTGGATTTATAACAGGGGATTTCCAAAGCAGAGCAGATACAAAAGCTAGTGCTGAGAAGAGAGATGAAGTGGGGCCCAGAGAGGAGCCACTGTCCCCCAACCCCAGAATGTGGTCAGGGACATCAGGCTGTGTCAGGCTTGGTGTGCGCGTGTGTGTGAACATGGGCTGGGGAATCAGGCCTAAATTTGAATCCTGTAGTCGTCACTAGCTGTGTGTCCTTGGGAAAATTACTTCACCTCACTGAGCCTGTTTCTAAGTCTTTAAAGTAGAGACAATGATCCCTGTGGTAGGGAGAATCCTTCCCCCGCCAAAGATATCCACCCCCTAATCCGGGTGTTAAAGAAAAAATTATTCTGACACTTGGTAAAATGGTAAGGAAGACTTTTCAGGACTATCATAAGTGTGAGGACTCACAATAGTGGAGGCAGATGGGGCTCAACTCTGAATACAAGAGCAAGTGGGGATTTTCAGCCAAGGAGCAGGGTTGGGGGCTGGTGGATGGAAGATCACTGAGAGGGAACATCAAGGGTGGAGGAATCTTGCTAAACTGACCTAAGGATTCTTGCCAGCGTCATCAGATATCAAGGATGAGGGACTCTCTCCAAACTGGCTTAACAAGATTCTTGCTAAAACTGGGCAATGCAGGCCTCACAAGGACAGGGGCCAAGGTAGAGGCCTGGTTGAGAAGAGGGCTTCCAGGAGCCTGACTACAGTTGGGTCAAGGAGAGCAGCTTGTTACCGAGAACCTGTCAGGATGTTACCTTATGTGGCAAGAGGTACTTTGCAGATGGGACTAAGGCTACTAAATCAGTGACCTGAAGGTGGGAGAGTATCCAGGCAGGCCCAGTATAATTACATGAGCCCTTAAAAGCAGAGAACTCTCTCCAGCCAGAGGCAGAAGAGATGGAGCAGAAGTGGGAGAGATTCACAGCAGGAGAGGAACTGGACTGGCCGCTGCTGGTTTGAAGATGGAGTGGGCAGCATGCAAGTAGCTGAGAGAGGCTCTTGGCCTACAGCCAGTGAGGAAAGGGACCCTCAGGCCCACAACCGTGAGGAACTGAGTTCTGCAAACAACCTGAATGAGCTCGGAAGTGGATTCTTCTTCAGAGCCCCCAAAAGGAACATGATGCTGCTGACACCTTGATTTTGGCCTCGTGAGACCCTTAGCAGGGGGCCCAACAACCCCCACACTCGGTCAGTGTGGTAATTTGTAATGGCAGCAATAGCAATGGTTACACTCCCGA